TGGGGATGTTTTTAAGCTAGATCAATTACATTGCTATTATGTCACAATTTAAAACTTTAAAATGCTGAGTTTATGGATCCTTCCACTTATATATATTTTACTTAGCATATTATCAATTAATGTAAGACTTCACTATACTTAAATATTCCAACAATCTTCTTCTCAAGTGTGAAACTGTTAACTTTGAATATTAGATGATGTTGAATCAAAAATTTTTGTCATTACTATTGACGCGTATACAAGGCATGAGTTGTACAAATGAATAGGAACAAATACAAGGTAGGAGTTGTACAACTAGATAGAAACATAATAAATGCAAATACAAGGTATGAGCTATACAAATGACTGAGCCTTTGGTGCCATAATTTAGACGATTCTTCGTGACCAGCGGCGTACTGCGTATGCGTATGTAGAAGCTTTGGTTTGTTGTTAGCATACATATACACCTCCTTTCTTTCTAGCCAACCCAATTAGCCTCCTCGATGTGTAGTCCTGCATGACACAAAAATCTTCAACAAAGCAAACACTCAACTTTGTGTTTCTTAACAACTGAAAAACATAAATTAGGTTGCACTGCAATGTAGGTACAAATAATACTGCATAAAGAGTCAATTGTGGGCCTAGGGTCACATCTCCTTAATGTACAATACCGGTTTTACTACCATCAGGCAATCCCACTTGTATAGGAGCAATCTTTTCAATATTAAACAAAAGGTCAACATCACCAGTCATGTGGTGTGATGCCCCACTATCCACTAACCAAGTAGAAGAGGCGACAATCTTACCAGAGAGCTTCCCGGAGGACAAGTTGGTGTTGTCCACTAGTCGCAGCAAATGTTGAACAACTTTAGGGGTCAAATCTGCCAATGGGTTGCTTGATGTGTTTTCACATGGCTCAGGTATATGCCCTGCATGGGCTCGTGCTTGACTTCCACGACTATTAGATCCCTCATGTTCTTCTTGTCCGCGTCCAGTATTTGAGGTAAAGAAGAAGCCACGAGTCCTCTCTTATTCCTAAAAGAAATTTCCTACATGAGAAGAATAGCCATGCCTTTCAGCACCTTGGCTCTTTCCTCATCCATTTCCTTCACGCTTGTTAGGGTACCCATGAATCTGCCAACACCCCGAGATGTCATATCCCAGTTTTTTGCAATGAGAACACTGAACCCTTTCACCACCTACATCTGAATGAGACTTTGGCGCCACATTTTGCTCTGCATATCCTATTGTGTCTCCTCGATTAGGCGGGGCACGAGCAATAGTTTTGTGTGTTTCTTCGTGAACAACCATGGCAATAAACCTTATTGATGGAAGGAAGTGGTCTCGTACTCAGAATTTGACTGTGCAAATTTCCAAACGTGTCATTATCCAAACCTATAAGGAATTGATACACACGGTCCTTGCCACGTTTCATCACATGACATTTATCTCTGTTAGAGCACATATCCTTTGATGTCGCTGCATCTAATTCATCCCAGACAGCCCTTAGTCTGGAGTAGTATATTCCCATTGTTGTGCCTTCTTGTTTAATAGAGGCCAGACTGCATTTTAATTGATAAATTGGAGGAGTATTCTCCATTGAATATTTTTCTGTAAGATCACCCTACAACTCCTTAGCAGAGTCAATATAAGGGATGTATGGCCGAAGCTCAAGATCAACGACATTATGAAGCCAATCACTGACCATGGAATTGCATATTCTCCATGCGTGGCCTTCATCGGAATTTGGATCATTTGGCTTAGTGATTCCTCCATTAATAAAACCAAATTTGTTCTTTGTGTTAAACACATTCTTCATATCATTTGCCCAGAGATCATAGTTGCCTTCTTCCTTCAGCAACAAGCTCGTAATCAAGGTGCTTGGGTTATCTGAAACGCTGGTGTAGAACGGTGATTATGGGTCTGTTACCTTTAGCTGCTGGCGGCTGGTGCCTAAAGTTGCCATTAGTGGGAAGGTTTACGAATGAATTTGGATCTTAGCTATGAAACCATTTAAATTTTGAATATCAGATGACATTGAATCAAAACTTTGTGTCCTTATTATAGAAGCGTAGGCATGAGCTGTATAAATGGATAGAAACATAAAAAAGGAAAATACAAGGCATGGGTTGTACAAATTGATAGGAACATAGTAAATGCAAATATTTGAAATTGATTCAAAATATTTGAAACTGATTTGGGTACAAATCTTTGAAACTAATTCAAATATTTTTATCTTTATCTTGTCATCTAATGGAAACTCACCATTGGTATGCCCATCCTCATCTTCCAGTACCCAGACTCAAAGTACTCAACTCGCCTCTACTAGACTAATTCGAGCCCAGCCTGACTCTTATACCATTGTCAGGCGGGTCCAAGGGGAGCAAATGGTGAGAGACCATCATCAATGAGCTAAGCTAGATCAATCTCATCAGTCGGTCCGACACCATGTCACAATCCAAAATCTTAAGGCATTGGGTTCATGGATCCTCCTACTTAGTTCATTACCAATCAATGCGAGACTTCATCATACTTAAAATATCTCAATAAATATAATATTTTATCTTTGAGGGATCTTTTAGCTCTGGATAACAATAACAAATCTTACTTATCCTTTTCTAAAACGTGATATTTGAATAATTTGATTTAAAAAAATTGTATCATTTTAGTATTTTATTTTTGTCCCTTGTACAATGGTGTGTATTGTTGAAGTGCAGGTCCTAGAAAATATTTTAGTGCTCCTATCTCCACATGATCCTTCCATTAAGAGGGTGACATCTGAATAACTTTTTCCTTTTTTTTTTTTTTTTTTTTTAATAATTGTCACAATTTAATTGATTTGGATCACTGAAAAATTAATATTCCGAGAGCACCAAAAGCCTTCTCCACCGTCATTGAACAAGTTCAAAGAAACGGTGCCGAAAACGGAGGCTAGTGAAAAAGCGTTGCAGGCCAACATTGAATACGTGTACATATCAGTGGGCCCATAAAGGATGGTGGGCCATGCTTTAAGCCAGATACAGTGAGATCCCACGCGGCCTACGTCATGAACGCATATTAACATGCATCTGGTCGCGCCACGATTTCAACTCTGATTTTGGCCGCACCGGAGTCATCACTTACACCGACCCTAGTAAAATAATAATATAAATATTAGTTACACTTATAATTTTTCTTCTTATCATTTCTTACCATCATTATTATTATTATTATTATATCAAAATCAATTTTGATACTGTTAATTTAGTTTTAATTCAATGAAAACGAAAATAAATATAATAAATTATAATATAACCTCTTGTATATTATAAAGTAGAAAATATGAGACTGCAATTTTTTTTATTAGTTGGGTTTTGAAAAATTATGGTGCTCTAATATGGGTGGGTATGGCAGGTTACGATAAGTCGATAAGTGCACGTATCCGTATGAAGGTGCATGGCAAAAGATCAGAAAACCAGAGAGAGGTGGTTCACTCAAACATGCCATTTCCTACACTGGATCATATGCCTGCTTATTTATTTTTCAACTTCTGATTTGTCTCTGTTTTCCCTAATTTTTAATGCTTATGTTTCTATTAAATAGTTAATTTACTATTTTACTTTTTTTTTTTTGGAGTTACCCAACCCTAATTATCTCTTTGAGACGAGTTGACTCCCTCCAGTATCCCCACGAGCTTCGACTCTTTGAGCCGGCTATGGGACTAATCCGGAGTGCAGGGACTATTTTACTTTCTATTTGAATATCACATATATATTTTTTAAATATCACATGAGCTTTAATATTTTTATCTATCTTTCAGTATATTTTTTGGAACGTATTTGTATCTTTTTTAACAAAAATTTTATTCACGATAAATTATAAAATAAAGAAAGATAAATATCTATTTCAAAAAAATAAAAGATGAAACATGTCTAATACATGCATATAAAATAATAATAATATAAAGGAAAAAAAGTTTCTGATGTTACTTTAGATAACTTTATCTTAATGTTCATCGAAACGACGTCGTTTTGAGGTTGAAAAATTAAAAAATTAGAGTGATATAGACTATTATAACTCTTAAATAAATTAAAATTACAAAAATACCATGATTTTCGTCCCAAAACGACGTCATTTTGATGTACATTAGATAAAGTTATCTAAAGTAACATAAGAAAAAACAAACCCATAATATAAATATTATATCTTAAAATTGCACGTGGAACTCAAGTAATAATAATACATAAGTACATGAGTAATTCTCTAAACCGAAACATGGTTTGTAATTTGTTTCCCCAAACTTTATCAACCTAAATACGGTTAATAGAATTCCAATATAATTCAGTTGGCAACTGAGCTTCCAAAAATTTGTTTAGGTCATGAGTTCAAATCTTATTTCAAGTAAATTTTTGGAGTCCAAATGACATGCCGCTCTCCTCGAATGGAGGATTAATCTCATCCTTGTCTCCAAGAACAAAGTAACCGGAAAAGGTTAAATGGAGATATCCTCCCGGTTATACCAAAAAATACGGTTAATAGTTTGAGCTCTAGCAAGTAGGAACTAAGATTCTGCTTTGATAGGATTATGTTAATAGAATATTAATTATATAGTCTATTCTTCTTAAAGACCAATACAACTCGGACGAAGTATAGAGGATTTATTCACACATCAACACATTATTCCTCGTATAAAAGTATATGAATCTTGATAAAAGGAAGGAATGGGGCCTTCCTAAATGTGTCTGGCTTATTGCAATTGCTTTTCTACACAGTTCTTGAACTTGGATGAAGAAGCATCACGAGAATTAGATTCCTTTTGAGTACTAAATTGCTCGAATTCCTTCGAATGATATTCATTATTAAGTTTACGTTTCACACAAATAAATACGTATTTTATGAAATACGAAGTCTGGCTGAGTTATTCTTGTGCTTAGAATGAAAAGCTGTAAACATCCATGCACAAGATGACAAAATAAAGAAGATAATTAAATGGATGATCATAACATGGGTTGTGTGAATGGAAATCGAACTACAATAGACACAACCAAATTTATATTTTCAAAAGCATTCTTGTATCAAATTGTAAAATCTCAAAAGTGAACAGTATAAGGGATCTGATATCTTCACTACATACAAAATCATGTCATGCATTTGATATTTTTCCTCATATACAATCACAAGAAGGAAATAACAAGATAAAATGCTTCGGACAATGTGCTTATTTTCCACAATTGAACCCACGGCAGACCGAGAGGACTATTATTAAGATCAGAGCAATCAAAATTGCCAATACAATCAGCTTTACCTTCATGTTTTGCAGCCACATTTTTCTACGGATTTTGGTCCCCGAATTCTTGAAGTCTTGTGCCTGCCTCAAAAAATGGCGAAAAGGAAACGGGAAGTGAAAAATAGTTCACATTGAAAAATAACCAATTACTTTTTGGTTTTCTATGCCCCCTCAACAGCTCAATCCTGTCTTCCCAACTTTTTTCTTTTTTGTGTGGTGGAGAGGAGCGTGAAAATATTATCAGAAGACTCACTATGGCATCAAATAACAAGAGACTACGCTTTGGAAACTAAACAGAAATAGTAGCCCACCAAAAAATAAAAGAAAATAAAATAGGATGGACAAGGAAATATTTACAATGATCCTCAAGCAGATGAGAATTTTCACAATTTCAAGACCTTCCAAGCAAACAAGAACATGTAGATGAACATAAACTACATAGTACATACTAACCTGGTGATGAAGGTTCTCAGTCTTGTCAACCAGAAGCTCTATCTTTTCCCCCCTGTCCAGAACCTACATCAAATTATGAACGCAGTCAACACAGTCAATATAATTTGATTAAATTTCCTTACGCATAACTATTTTTTATCCAATTAAAGGTATAGGAATGCCAGATATTTGACTTTTTTTTTTCTTTCCTTCTTTTCTGCTGCAATGTATAACTGGTGTGATCTCTGCTTTTCTATAGCATACATATGTTATAATGAATATCATTATGGCACAAAGAAAAGACACACAAACTCAGTCGTTTATAGAGAAGGATAATAGTATCATCAGCATACTGGAGGCAGGAGACCATTACCTTAACTGAACCAACTTTAAGATTCTTGGTTCCTATCAACACCTCTTGAACAAGGATATAAAGGGTCCCCTTGCCTAACTCCCTGTTTCCTATAAAAGCAAGTCTAAGGATCACCATTCACAATCACCAAAAGGATAGCTGAAGAGACATCCAGATTCCGGAATCCACTTTCTCCATCTAGAACCAAAGTACTTCCTGTCCAGAAACTTATCTAAGAAAACCCCAACTCTCCTGATCATAAGCTTCCTCATAATCCAACATGACAACTTATTTTATTTTATTTCCTTGTGTAACATCATCCACCACTTCATTTGCTATTAAAACAGCAATCTTAAATCTGTTTGCTGCAATGAAGGGACTTTGGCTCTTCTAAATGGTTTCTGATAAGAAACTTCTTTCAACTCAAATACTTACAAGACCTATTCTACTAGACAGAAGGCAACAAATGTGGGAAATGGGATCAACCTAAAAAGGGGAAGGGAAATCTATTAGGTTCATATTTTTCTTTGCTCCTCTTAAGCCGTGGTCATCGCAAGCCTTCCTTTTTCCCAAATTAGGTGACCAACTGATTGAACATCAATAAAATGCCATTTTTCTTTCTGCTTATATTCAATAAAATTTCCATATCACACATATGAACCCCTGTTTTTTTTTTTTTTGGAAAACTGCATATCTAACTGAAGCATAGATCACAACATTAAAACAAAATCTACAGACTCTTGAGTATCAATGCAGCAAGTGCCCAATGCAAGAATTTGATGAAATGCTGGCCAGACTAATTTATTGGTCTCATGTACCAGGTTTAAGTATTCATACGTTTAGATTTTCTTCTAAGATCCACTCTTTGCGGTTCTGTTGCCTTTGTTGTTTTATAAAGATTTTAAACACAACCAAATTTATAATTCCCTCTATGAAATATGATTCTCATGATTTACAATTACAAAGCAATTTGATCTGTTCAATATATATGTTTTACCATTCTCTTAATTCAAAGCGCATAAGCAGTGTGCATCTTGTACCTTTTCAATATTCTCCATCATAACACCTTTGACTTCAGAAACCTGAGCTTTCACCTTGGCAAGCTTACTTATCTCTTCGGGATGATCAACACAATACTGCATATGCTCCTTCAATTTGGACCTGCAGCAAGCAAAGAGCATAGCATATGAGTTCTCCTTAAACAACACAATCACAATAAATCCTCCAACATTAACCTTAAACAACAGAAACTTAATACCCAAATTCCTTGTTAAGACTGTTAGGGGGAGCTGTAGCAGCCTTTCCACCACCATATCTCGAAACAAAATCATCCTTAACACGCTCTAGAAATGCCACAGGAACCTGTCTTCCGACCGATTCATCCGCAACAACGCAATACGCTACAAATACAACACCAAATCCAAAAAGTAAGACACATTCATTTCTGAACACAAAACACGAAAAAAAAGGAAGCACGACATTACTATCATATATTGATTCACTTAGATCGGTAGTGAGAAAGAATGAAATAGGAAGTGAAAGGTGAGAAATACGAACTGAAGCCATTGTCGACGAGGTAATTGAAGGTGTGGCCATCGCAGTTGTAAGTGAATTTGTTGTTGGAAGTTGGAAGTTTCTGGAGGCACTGAAACGCGATTGAATTGAAGTTTCCACTGAATTCAGTGTACTCCGCAAGAATCACGCTTCCCCGAGAAACAAACGCGTAGATCAGAGATCTCTGGTTCTGGTTATGCCCCATTCTTCTTCTCCTTCTTCTACTTCCAGATCTATCAACCAACGGTTTCTGGTGATGCTGCTTTTGTTCTGTCCTCTATTTACCCACACTCTCTTTTTCTTTTCTTTTCCTTTCCTTTATTTTCTGGAGAGAGTAGAAAAAGAGAAAGAGTGAGAAAAAAGAAAGAAAGGGTTTAGAGCGTTTATAAAGCGAAGGTATTTAAAAGTTAATTAACTAATTAATGATGGGTTTAAATTTTAAATTAATGGAAGGGATGAAGCGGAAGTGTGGCACTGGCGTTATGATATGATAGCAGTAGCACCGTGTGGTGTGGGTACCGCAGAAAATGAAAGAAATAATATTTATTTCAGTTACTGCATCCATTTTATCTGAAATATCCACCTCAATTTTCTGACTGCACCCCTTAATCCAACGATAATGACATTTCATTCAAAGATTTGACACTCACTTCAACAAAATATAATTTAATAGAATTCAATTTTTTTTTTCCTTTTTAGATTAAATATTATTCTAATTCTTAGGTTAAACCTTTTTCTTTTAAATATTCATTATGAAATCAATATTTTGAAAATTTAAAATATAGTTATATTTTTTTTCATAAAATATAAAAGTGGTGATACAAAATATTAAATTTAGTTATTATTTTATATTTTTAACGAATTAAAATTTAATAACAAATTTTTGGAAGACTAAAGTGATCACATTTAAATTTTAAAACGTTAATTTAATAATAAAATCTTTAACAATTTAATAACATTAATTTTAAAGGAAAAAGTTTAGGTTTACCAAAAAAAAGGGAAAAAGTTTAGAATTCATTCTAGGTCTTATAAACACGTTACTCTGATAGAATTGTAACAATGTTGAAGAAGTTATACAATTAGTCCCTTTTTTTTCACTCGAGTATTCTACAAGGCTTTCACATTATATATGTCAAAGCGATAAATTTGCTTATTTTTTTTATACAAAAAGAATTTTTTTGGTTTATCTTTTTGTTAATTGAGGCTAAGTCTCTCGTTCTACAATAAGAATGCACTTTTACATTAATATATTATAGATTAAAAAAATAGTTTAGACGGAGTGAATTATTTGATGAATGAATATACTTCTTCCTTGAAATAGGTCTCATTCACATTATTTGACACTCACTATAAATTTCATTTGGAGACCCGTTGTCACCCTAAATGCAAGAAAAGTCATCGTTTGGAGTCTCTGTTTGTTTCATTCACAGCTCTAAATCGACCTTGTCAAAATTGGTAATGATAAAGAAATTTCCCGTGGAATACTCAGGAAGTCATAACAATGACGCAAAAAAGAAATCTCCATTAAAAGCCCACACAACTCCGGCGAATCCTTCATCATAGAAAGCAAGATACATGATTCTGATGAGCCATGTCCACCATCTCTGAAAGCTATCATTTCTCAGGTTTCATACGTACAAGGTGTTTGGCTACTAAGATCATCAACGGCCATCCCAATTTTCAAGTTATTGATAAAAATGGCCTAAAAAGGACTGGGACCTAATCTAATACAAAAATATACACCGATCATTACGTGAGTTTAGTAGAGAAGATTTTTTTTTTTGTCCGAAATCTTGATTACCAAAAATATGCTGAGAAAGTAAATTTTTTGAACGTGACCAAAATGTTATTTGATAGACAAAAATATTACTGAAAATATTGGCTCAAATTTACTAATTTTATGTTTGATTGATTGTTAAATATTATTGAGAATATCAAATTTTGCCAACACCCAGGATTCCAATACAACTATTATTTTGCTATATAATTTGTTCACAAATCAAAATCCCGGAAAAATAAGATTTCGAATTTTTTTTTTCAAAAATCTTCTACTAAACTTGGGTAAATTAATTTCCTAATACCAGTTTCAGGAGAATCCAAAAATAATTCATGTATCAAATGCCCACTAAGACAAAATAAATAAATAAAACGGGAAAAGATGTTTACGAAACAGTGTCAAGTGGCCATAAAAACTATAAATAAGCAATTAACTTACCATTTCAGAAGAGATTACACTTCACGACAGAACTATTTCAGAAGGATGATATAAGTTATTGGACTTGCTAACATAACTAGCAAATCAATCAGCCATTACATATCCAGACAACCGACTTTTCCTTCCTATATTTCCTCGATAATAAAGCGTCACAAAAATTCTTCCTCTTACAAAAGTTTCTTCCCTCCATTTGTTTCGGGTGGGAGTGGGAGAAGAGAGGAAAGAAAAAAGAAAGGGTTCTACACATTGTTCACTCAATTTTAGTAGCATTTGCTGATTCATAAGCAACATCGGCAGAAGAGGTATCCATATCATTCAGACCTAATTCTTCATTTTGCTCCCATGACCTCTCATATTCCTCAACTGGAGAGACACCATGTTGACGAAATTGCCAAAACAGAAAACCATAAGACATGAATATATTATTAAATGAACTATGACATGCCGATAATACTAAACAATCAGTTATAATTTATACACACATGCCCACTCATCACATGGAAATAAAGCCATTTGTTAGCATCCGATAAATTTAAACATTAAACCCACTCATCACATCATTCCAATTATGCACGTTCATAAGGTCACATTAATGCAAAAGGTTCAAACCCATGCTCCTTACAAGGGAAATGTCAAATGCAAATGAATTTATCATTTGTATGCTCTACAAATCCTCCTGTTTGTTTCCATTCCATGGCAGTACACTGGAATCCCAAGTAAATCCAATGGCTGAATTGAATCAGATATCTTCAGTTCAAAACATGACAAAATCTATTTTACCTCAATGAAGAAAAAACTATTTTACCATTATTGTGGACACCATGACATAATCCATGGTTATATGATCAAGTACAAAAAGTGGAAACCACATCAATATAAAAGCAAGTTGAATAAGAAAATAAAACCAAAGGCATGGAAATAATTTTGTTTTTAATTTCAGTCCACCTTTATCAAGAACACACAGACAGCTATCATCTCAATAACAAGCTTGAACTGACATTGCAGAATAACCTTGTGGGCACAGGGGCCAAGGCCCAAGGACAAAACAAATATTCACAATTTCAATTTCAAACTCGTAAAATGCCAACTGCATTAAGTACAACTTCAAGTCTGAGAGTGTTGATGAAAAACTTACTTCTTAATTGATTGTCGTCTTTTAGATCAGCAGTTACAGGTGCTACAAAAGAATTGGCTAATGCATCATCCAGAATTAGAGTCCAAGGTTCCTCCAAGCTCAGAAGCTGTACAAAATGAAAAATGTGGATAAAAGAAATAGTGTCAAAGACCTTGCAGCAATAGGTTTAAATAGGCCAAGTCATAAAAGAAAAAGAGAGACAAAGAAAGAGATGAGTGAGAAAACTCTGTAATCTTTGATTATGATGAAAGCCACCAAAAACAAGTACACAGCTCTATTTATAGAGCTGCAAAGCTGACTCATAGATGACTCATCTAACTGATTCATGTTAGAGAAATATAATATAAAACCATTAATGCAGTCTTCATCTAACAGCTCAAGCTTTTGGATTGAGTAAATACCCTTTTTGGTTCTCAGCAAATTTCACGATGCCCGTTTTAGTCCCTAGCAAATAAAAAGGCCCATCGTGATCTCTAAAAAAATTCAAAATGGACCCATTTAATTGAAATCGTGGTCCCTCACAAATTCAAAAAAGAGCCATATTAATCCCTAAAAGGACTAAAATGGGTCCATTTTGAATTTTTTAGGGACCACGATGGGCCTTTTTATTTGCTAGGGACTAAAGCGGACATCGTGAAATTTGCTGAGGACCAAAAAGGGTATTTACTCGCTTTTGGATTGAAATGAATATTTACAAATCATAATTGTCATAACTACCCAAGCTAAGTGATTGACAAACTTAAGAAATAATCTGATGCATGCAGGCATATGGTAGTGCGTATACAACAATGCAATGTGAAGCATTGATACTATATGCTAATAAGTCAAATCAAAGCCTTCAAAACAGGAAGATATAGAAAGTACGACAACTTCAACCTATTAAGCATTGATGTTAGATAAAGCATCTGACAAGTGATGTCTGGAATCAAAAGTAGCATAGAATATTTATATGACCATTCCATTGTAGCCCAGAATTTTTTAGCAGCTTCTCGAGAGGAGAAGGCCCTTGGTTAAAACATCCCTGACTCTTTCTCCTTTTTGTTATTTGTTTTCTTTTTTGAGATATAGATAAAGAAAATTTATTAAAGGCATGAGATAAACGGGTACACAAACAAGGTAAGATATCCTCCTAAAAGAGAATAAAATATTATAAGACAAGCTAATTGTAGAAACACAAAGGAATCTACAACGCCTGTACTTATCTGTTACTCCTTATCTCCCCTCTTCTCCAGCTTTGCCACAAGAGAAACAACGCATAAAGAATAAAGATAAATATTGCCATCTGATGGTAATCTAATCAATAGAATTATAATGGAAGCAACTACTACTCTGTCCAAAGGTGAGAAACATATGCGCAGGGTCAGGGAAGGGTCAGTGACAGAACCCACCCAAGAATGGAAGAATTTGAAGGAAATAGAAACAGATTATAGGATCGATAACGGCTGATTCAAAGTGAACACAGCCTTCAGAGAATTACAGATATAGCAACTTCAACTGTACAACAAATTAACAAGAGATATATAAAAAAAGAAAACAAGAAAGAAAAGATAAGTTCATAGTAATTGGAGAAGCTCTGATTTCTCCCCAGCCCAGTCCTAGTCCCAGCCTGATTCCCTAATGATCCTTGCCAGCCTCTACTTATCCCCCTGAAAGGAGGTTCCTCCTTGCCTCTAACAGACTTCCCCTCAACAACCTTGAGGATATTCCCTTCTAACTGCCTACATTGACTCAGCAAGTGCTAATAATCCTCAGTGTCTCTTTCTAGTATACTCCTTTACTGGTGGTGTCAGTCAGCTCCATTGTTTGAGTCTATAATAGATAGACTTACCTCGCATTTGCAAGAGGCTGATAACATGAATTGAATTTGTGACCTCTGGGTGACATGGCAATTGCGCCAAGGTTCCCCTTCAAAGGTGAGAACCATAAAAAAGAGAAATTTAAGCAAACTATTATATATAGTCATGTGCTACCTTGTTTAGCCTTGCTTTAAAGCGTAGCCACTTGCTTCTTCCTTGTTCATCAAGACTATCTCCAAAAGTAAACCCATGGATGCTCTCAATGCCTGTAAATGCAAATCACATTAAATCATATTCTACATTCCAGCAAAGATATATGGAATATATTATAATAAAACACAAGAGGATCAGGAAAAAACATAAACATGTGGAAGACAGACAATTTAAAATCCATCTTTCCAATACGGATACAAATTTTGCATTTTAGAAGGCTGTTTCAACATATTTGATGTAGATTATTTGGATTAAAAGAATAATGATGTTGATTACCAAAAAAAAAAGAAAAAGAATAATGATGTTCAGGTGGTTGAAGCTTGAAAGATATATAATAAAAAGTTGAAAGTCTTTATTTTATTACTCTGTTAAAGTGGAACTCAACAAAGTGTATGGATACTACTATTTGTCCTTTCCTTTTCAATTCCACAAAGGTTACTCCTAATTATTCTGTGTCTATAGCATACATCACATAGATGTTAATGTGTGTGTGAAAGAGAGAGAGAGCATGCTTACTTTCACAAATTTTTGTTATTAAACCTTCAACAGTTGTAACAATTCCTCCAAGGGTGCCACTTGCCAGCTCCAAGTCAAGTTCCGGAACTTTTACACTTGCAGTATCAGACTAATAAAACCAAACTACTCAGCCAATTCTTTAATATATCTCTGTGTGTGTGTGTGACTAAAGTATGGATAACTATAAATCATATGGCAAACAGAAAATCAACAGCGGGCTGGGGAACAAAAAGAATGAAGATAGCCATAACATCATGACATTTTTTACAGGTTCATCTTCACTAGAAATACATGTGAGTATCATTACATCTTGTAGTATATCATTGAAAACGCAACATATTGATATCAAGATAGCCATAATTTGGCACAAAAATCTTGATGAAACCAACAATTTCAGAGTTTTTTTTTTTTTGGCATAAACAATTTCAGGTTTCTGATAACCACAAAATATGACTTTGATTGTTTAAGTATTCATTATTTCATCCAAGTGCAATGATAAACTAAATTAAATAATGAACCCAAAATTACAATTTTAAAGTGGCACTTTGGAAGAGCCAACATAAATGGCTTATTTTCTTTCCCCCAAATGACCATACTTTCTACAAAAGGTTCTGATGCTTATAGAATATAGCACTATAGCTGCCCTTCACTTGCAAGCAATAACAACGTAACCACAGTGCCTTCTTCTCTAACAAATTTCTCTTATTGTTCCCAATTTGTAGTATTTACACATTAGAAATAAGAAAATGATACGTCCACTAAATGCAAAGGATTAACTACAAGATCTAATATTTAATCACTCAACATATATAAACTTAAAGACTGCATGGGTTGAGATTTGTCAAGATCTACATAAAGAAGATACAAACCTTTATTACATCGCGGCTCAGGTCATTAACATTCTTCACATAAAGAGTAATCGTTTTTCCTTTGTCAGGAATCCGTCCACCGGGTTTCAACTGCACGGTGAAAAGCAATTATTATCCCAGCCCTCAAAAGAGAGAACAATGCTCAAGATATCAGTATATACCTCAGAGTTGCGGTAACCACAAGCATCACATGTAGATGCCATAACAATAACTTCTTGGAAGTATGGAATTTCTATACATTGTTAAGCTCAATAAAGTGTATAGATGAACTAACAAGACACATTGCTCATTCAGACTCTGACAATAATAATAATAATACAGAATTGGTACATTGAAATTTTTTTTAAAAGTCAGGCTCTGCCATCAAAGCAAGCGAAAGAATACTATGCAGAGTCTTTGCCCCATCAACAATCAGCATACAAGCCAACCCTATAGACAGCTGTTTTCATTTTAATCTCAAGCATTCAACATTAATCTTTAGTAGCTTGCTTGAGCCTATAGCCAAGTCCGCAAAATTATAAAACAAAGATAATTTTCTGGATTTTTTATCTGGCACGTATTCACCAAAAAAAACATTCTGTACATTCCAAAGGGGTGACTAAAGCTTTAAATTTCATCTGAATACAACAAACATGGATTTAGAAAGGAATTTGAAACAAAGAAAAGGAGTGAACAAATTAATTGCTAAAACAAAACCAGCCTTTATATGATTTCAGTTTTCCCTCACAAAGCCTTGTACTCTCTTGCATATACAAAATATGGATCCTTTAAGCCAATCAGCCAATCAATTTAAATTATAATTGCTACTGATGCTTAAATGACATATCCCTATAAATAAATGTAACACAGACAAAGAATATCCTAATGGCAGTAGGAAATATTGTAAAAAGATACTGGTGACAAACATTCGGGTCTCGCACATAGTGGCACAAGTACCACAAGTTGATGGGAAAGTCATCACCTGCCAATAACAAACGGTAATATGAAATGAATGGACAAACAACAAAAAAGATCAAACCTCAGTATTCAGTATTATACAGTTCAGCGTTACATACCTCTTCTGGTGCAGTATATCGAAATAAGGCTTCTGCAATTTCTGCACTATTACTCTGAGCAATGGCTCGATGACCAGCTGCTGCCCCTACAGACCCATGTGGTTCTCTCCTCACTCGATCAGCAGCCACTGCTTCTCCCCCTTGTGGTGCTTCATCATGAGTTCCTTCAATTTGTGTAGAATCAACCAGATATCCCAGTGATGCTTGTTGCTCCGGAGTTCGCTCATAAAATTGGATAGTCAGTGATGGATCAGATGATGGTGCGAACCTATCCACATAGTCATTTCCTCCATTTAAATAAAATAGAAGCAGCTAAAAGGTTCGACTAAGATTAATAAGCACCAAACACAGGTACAAGACTGCCTCACCAAGAAATAGAGGTTTCTGTCTAAATTGATTTAAAATAAAAGATTATAAAATGCAGTATGGACTGACTTGGAGAGTAAAAGTCAAATAAAACAGCTCAACGAACCACTAAGATCCACTTAAAAAACATACGTTCGAAATAATCAAGTTTCTTAATTTTTTTAATGATGCAGAATGAAACTGGCCTTTTTTTAACTTTAGAAGGGCACATTACTCATATTCAAATATCCTTCGTATAGTATCCCCATCTATCACTTGTCTCTTCACTAATCACTATATTGTCAAGCTGCAGAGAGAATGGAGAAAATTATGAGACTTTCTTTGATTAAAAATGGGGTTACCAATAGGGATTATCTTGTAAATTGGAAGACTTTTTGCAAGCCTAAAATGGTGGGGGCTTTGAGCTTGGTAATTTGGTAATGAACTGTTACAGGTACGCAGGCATGACAGTGCCGAATGTTCTCTCCCCTAATGACTGTACAATGTGTTCATTCAGTCTGGGACTAGCATACATTTATATCTGCACTACCCAGCTGCTTGATAGTTATGACGTAAGCTTAGTGTTTTTTGGTGAATACTAACTTTGTTCAGAGTTTGGAGCAATTTCTCTAGTGTCAACTTAGAGGTTTTGGGAGAACTAAGTAGTGCAGGAACCTTTTGGTAGAATACTATGATGTTTGCTGTCGTTTGGCATTTATGGTTAGTCTCCGGCATTGGCGACTTTCACAAGTTAAAGTGGTGGTTTTCTTAGCTACTTTGTGGTGATCAGCTAATGGTAACTACAAAGTAATGCCTTTGATAAATATGAAAAGAAATGTGAGCTCTACCAAGATGAATAGTTTTCTCCTTAGATTTTTTTTGTTTATTGTTGTTTACTTATACGATGATATCTTGGCCTCTACTTTTGTAATCTTTTCTTCAATTAAATTATTTTTATCCATTCAAAAAGGATAAAATCCTTCAACAAGAAATAATCTCTTACGGGTTTTCAATGAAGCTGTTCCCAGCAGGATCATCAAGAATAAACATGAAGGAATATTCTACTGCTGCAAAGGCTCGCAATTTCACCAAAAACCTATCAATCGCTTCAGCTGTCTCTGGAGTCACTTTCTAGAAGGTTAAAAACATTACATTAAATTATTATAAAAGAAACTTATATCAAACAATAATATATGGCAAAAATAAATTTGTACTTTGCGTTCCTCTTGAAGTGCCTGAAGTTCATCAGCAGCACGCATTAGTATCCCTTCCACCTATAATTATATCAGAAACAATATTGCCCAATCATGTGACAACAAATGTTCAACTAATCATGAATTTAACCAGAAACTTCATAAAATGCTCACTGTTACTGCTCTGACTCCCACAATTTACATTTCCAATATAAATGTATGGACATTATTCTTGCGACTAAATTATGAGTGACAAATGGAAACCCATAAGTTTCAGAAATATACCCAAAATTCTAGTGTCTGATTCATGCTAACAAAAATTTATAGAATATTAACATAACATGCGTATCTTTTTAATTGAACTATTATTGTTTTTGCCCATATAAAAAGGACACATTGACATGTTTTTTCACCAGATGATATTGCATAAGCAATATACCTTTAGCCAAAATCAACTATTCGACTGTCTGATGTGCATGACAAAAGAAAGGGCAGTGTCAAGATATTCATTTACATTAAATGACAGACAAGCCAAAAAGAGAGGGCAAATCGGTAATTCTAGGAGTGAGAAAAAACAAGTAAACTGAAATATAAATCAAAAGTACCGTTGACAGACTACCACGCTGAGCCTCTGGTGGAATCTCAAAATCCAGTTCAGGTATCTGCACAATCATACAGATAAGAAAGGTGCACTTTAAGTAAATTTATTATACTTCAAATTTTCAATAATAGAACCATGTATGTGTGTATATATTAGTCATATTTTTACAGTTTCCAAGAAATAAGAAACAATTTACCCCCTTTCTCATATATTGTTTGTGTGTGTGCGCATGCATATACGGAAAATTAATAGGAAAAGAGGTGTGTCAGCTCAACTAAGATAGGAAAAAAGGATTTTCTCAACCTGATCATTACAATAAAAAGGAGAAAAGGAAAATGCTAATAAGTTTAAACAAAGGCACAGAAAATTAAACAAGATCAATTTAAGTACCTTAATGGTAGCAGACTCTGATTTTACCACTTTTCGATTGAGCATCTGCAATCAATAAAATTATCAATAAGGCACTCTTACAAACATCTTAGCAGAATAGTCAAAAGCACTCTTGCAAATCAAAATAAGAAACACGATAATCTCATGTAAGCATACATCAACAATACATGTATTAGACTAACGTGATGTTGGCCACTTTCTGGAAGTTCTGTTTTATATAATAACATCAAAGCATACATCAGTATATTGAATTTATTTTCCAGACCATTTTCTTAGTCTGCTCATAGGATGCATAAATGCTTCGTCATGGGCCATTAACTTCCATTTTTCCCTTTTTATAAGGCAAACATGTATGTTATTTATTTTTTCAAAATGTCTCATAGATTCCAAATTACATTTATATTCCCTGTTTGATTATTTCAGACAAACAAAAACGATGAGGAAAAGACAGAGAAAAAGTATGCAATAAAGGGAAAAAAAAAATAGCATCATTCCTTCCACCAATGAGATGCTTTTCATACTTATTCAATAAAATGCATACAAAATGTCATTCATATCAGTGGCAGTGCTGTCAATTGAAAAGAGCAACCTAAGGTGCTAAGATTGCCAAACATCGCAGGCAGTGAGGAAGGGGGTAAATTGCCTGTATGAATGAAATAAGAAAGACATTATAAAGGGTGGAAGTATTTTATGTCTTTCAAGAAAATCCTTTAATATTTTGAACAAATGTTACTATCCTAAGATGTTGTAAAGTCTTTATTACTTAAAATTTTGGTTTGAGGATTGATGAAGATTCAAGACCGCAGCCCCTCTCTCCATGCTCTGTTCTGCCTTAGCATTGCATTGCATTGCATCTTTTACAAAGTCTCTCTTGATTATGTTCTGCCTTTCCTTTATATGTCATTTTACATCAAACACTTTTACATCATTGACCCTTTAAGATAAATGCATGGACACAATTTAAAACACAAACATATGAGCAAAAGTATGAAATCCCTGCATACTAGGGGCTGGTAGCACCTCAGCGTGGACACTCACTGAGTAGCAACTGGCTGATAAAACCATGACTGGACTCAAGGAAGGCGCTGGAGCACCTCACTCAAGTCAGTCTTGTATATACCTTGACTATTACACCACATTTTAATTCATCCAGTGGCTATATAAGTTTTCTTATATTAATATAAATAATCAGTGGTAGTATAATTTGAATCAACATAACCTTCTGTTCGCCTGATGGGATCTTCAGAGAGTAACAACAACCACGTGGTTGAATTTCACCAGCAAACTGTACTTCATTGTTCCTAACAAATAAAAACATAAAATAAATATTAGCTTTCAAAGAAGACCAATGGAAAAAAATTATAGTCAATGCACACAGTTTAAGAGGAGGGCACAGATTAAGGGCAGCTCACCTCTCCCCACAGTGAGGACATTCAAAAGCCGACAACAAAATCTGCACAAATGGAGAGGCAGATAATTCATTTAATTAAAGTACGTAACAAGTAATTTAAAAGGAAAAAATATGATTGAAGAATCAGCCTAAGGAGAGGCAGATAAAAAAATATGAGATTTGAAATACATATATGGTATATCAGATTACATACTGATGAAAGTGACCAATAATAAAAGGAAAAGCAGCAATATGTAAGACATATACCTTTCTGAAGTGAGGAATTAGAGTTAATAAAAATCTTGTAATCCCCTGACAGATATGACAGAATTTCAAGTCAGACGATAAGTTTAAGATTAAAAATAAAATAAAAATCGTATTAAGATACAAAACTAAGACTTAATAGTTCTCCACTCACAGAAAATATAGCATGACTCGTCAAACTAGATTATTTTATAGTTCACACGATGGTAAGTTACAAATATTGTTTCATACCATAACAAAACACAAAGCGCATTGCTTTAACTTCAAAAGGTGGATACAGTAAAATTAGAGGGAAGAGGGAAAAATAAGAAATTAGTACATTGAAGATTTCAGTTAAGAGGAAGAAACGGAAAGTGTTGAAGGAAAAAGAGTGAGAGAATACGTTTTCGCCACAACGCATGCAGAGGCTTTCGAGGTTGTAAAGAGGAGCGGCGCCGTCGTCAGCAGAAACAGCTTCAACCACCGATCCAACATCCACAATCTCCTCTCCTTTACCATTATTGCCTTCCATTTTGTGAGATATTCTTCAATTCTAATCTATGCTTTTTTAGAGTGTTATCAATTTCCAGAAAAAAAAAAAAAAAAAACAGTGAGAAGGAAGCGTTCGGTACTAATGAACAATATAGGGTTACCTGTAGGCGGTACAGTAACAGTAAAATAGATTAAAAGTGTATAGTTGGTTGTTTAGCCATTTATTTATGAGAGTTGTAATTGTCATGTTATATAGGAAGTTTACTATATCATGTTATATCATGAACTATGGATATTTTAAAAAATTTGACGTATCGTGTTTGACATTTCTCGTCAACCGATATTCTGATACTTCTTGGCATTTCAATACTCGTTGCAAAGACTCTAAAAAAAAAAAATTTAAATGTTACGTTGTGTTGCATTTTGAATTTCAACTATTAGATTCGTTGAATTACAATTACCATTTTATTGAGTTTAATATAAACATTTGAAATATCTTATATTTCTTTATAAAATTAATGGGTATTATAAGTGTAACTTTATTTTTTATTAAATTATTAAATATTAAATATAATATACACTATATAAATTAAAAATATTATATAATATCAAAACGTGTCTTAACGTGTCAAAATTTCATATTTTTTAGAATTGACGTGTCAAAGTGTCGTATCGTGTCATATCCCCTGTCGATATTGGTGCAATATAGATGTTATAGATAGATCAAAAATCGTGTCTCAAATATTTTTTTTAAAAAAAAAATTAATGGGATCCATGGATATTGTCTCTAGATGTGGCAAAGTGGGCGGCCTGTCCCGCCCTGTCCGCATCAACCCGCCAAAAAATGAGTCATCCCGCCCTGCTTTTGAAAGTGGGTTGAAAAACTCAGTCCGCCCCGTCCTGTTTGGCGGGTTAGGCGGGTTGGTCCGCCAGCTCGAGCCTATTTTATACTGACTCGCCTATGCCCGCCATCAACCAGCCAAAAATGAGCCTGCTCCGCTTTTGATATGGGTTGAAAAACTCAGCCCGCCCCGCCCCGTTTGACGAGTTGGGCGGGTTAGCCTGTCGAGTCGAGCCGAGCCCATTTTACCGGCTCTAATTGTCTCTGTATGAAAATGGGATTCCTGTTGCATGATGACATTCGTAATCCCCTTTATTTATAAGGGTTATTTTGTGGGTTTGGGTTGATGAGATCTTTAAATTAATATTACATCTACTTGATTGATGGGATTAAGGGATCTTATCGCTTGATTCGCTCTATATAATATTGTTGAGATTTTTTTAAGATATTTTTTGAATATACCCTAATTTTTAATTGGAAATAAGATTAGGATATGGATTTAGTTGGTAAGCAGAATTCTGAATTCGAACGTGTGTTCCGTTGGAACTTGGGCGAAGGCGCTCGAAAGAATTAGGGGATGAATCATCGGGTTCGGTCAGTTTGGGTCGGACTATTATACCCGTTTCATTGGCCCGAGTACTAATATTACTATATAAGGCTGGCAAATACCATATGAACTCCATAAGATAACGAATACCAATCGAGACCTGCAAGATGAATTCCAAAATTACCCGTTTAATTGAAAAGTTATTAAACTCAACTCATATTTAAACCTAATATATAAATTTTGGGAGCGGTTATAATTATTATCTTTATCATTTAGTTTTTGTTTTTGTTTTTGGAAGGGTTTAATATTTGTCATTTTAAATTACATAAGTTTTGTCATTTTAAATTACATAAGTTTTGTCATTTTAGGAGAGAGAGACACAAGAAATGCAAATCATGGGAGAAAAAATAGGTGGTTTTTTTAATTTAAATTTTAAATAAAAAATAATTTCTTGTGTCTATCTCTCTCTTAAAATGACATAATTTTATGTCATTTAAAATGATAAACACTTCTCCCTTTGTGTTTGTTTTTTGAAACATCATTTAGTATCTTTAATGTGATTTTGCAGATCGGATTCAAATTACTCTTTTGTAATTACAAACATGCGAATTAATTAACGGTTATATATATATGGGAAAAATATTTCTCAAGCAGCTTGAGATAAGTGGGGTTGGATATGTGTTCGATTCCCGCTGAATGCATTCTTGGGGAGGGGGCTGAACCTTTAGCCATCACTGTTCCCCCGCACTCCGGATTAGTCCCATAGCCGGCTCAAAGAGTCGAAGCTCGTGGGGATACCGGAGGGAGCCAACTCGTCTCAAAGAGATAATTAGGGTTGGGTAACTCCAAAAAAAAAAGAAAAAAAAAAGATAAGTTTATCTCCGGCTATCCCAAAACTACGTCGTTTTATTTATTTATTTCTTTATATTAATTGATTCACCTTTGAATGGTTATGATTCCCTTTTTCTCTTTCTTCCTTTATCACCATTGATCCATCTTTGTATGGTTATGATTTAATAGCCGGAGATAAGATTATCTCAAGCAGCTTGAGAAACGATAAGCTCAATATATATATAGCCTTTTTGACCATTTTATCCTTCATTAATGAGTTAATAACCATTTTGTCCCTTATTCGAAACTATCTACCAATCTGCCCCTCTTTAATCGATTAACTTGAAGATTTAATCGATTAAATCTTCAAGTTAATCAATTAAATCTCCCAACAGGCAATAAAGGTCAAATCTCCTCCATAAACAAAAGCAGATGCCATGAATATGAAGCAAATCAGCAAGTTAATAAGAGTTGATTGTGATTTGTATTTAATATGAGCTGATTGCGTTTTGTATTTAATAGGAGTTGATTGTATTTTATATTTAATAGGAGCTGATTGCGTTTTATTAGGAGTTGCCATTTTACGATTTGGTTACAGATTGTCACCAATTCAAATGTTGGTATGTACACTCTTACTCATTTCATTGCAAAGTTGCCCTAAATAGACTCAAAATTACAAATTACAAATAAATTTGAATTGGTGACAATCTGTAACCAACTCGTAAAATGACAACTCCTAAAAAAACACAATCAGCTCCTATTAAATACAAAACGCAATCAATCAATGTTTTTACGCTCATTTGGTATATTTACTCATTTCATTGAAATGTTGCCCATAAATTGGCTCAGAATTACAAATTACAAATAAATTTGAATTGGTGACAATCTGTAACCAACTCGTAAGATGGCAACTCCTAATAAAACGCAATCAGCTCCTATTAAATACAAAACACATTCAACTCCTATTAAATATAAAACGCAATCAGCTCCTATTAAATACAAAACACAATAAGCTCCTATTAAATACAAAACGCAATCAATCAATGCTTTCACGCTCATTTGGTATATTTAATCGATTAAATATAAGTTTTAATCGATTAAATCAATTAAGAGGGAGATTTAATCGATTAAGAGGGAGATTTAATCGATTAAATCTTCAAGTCAACCATTTTTTTCATTTTTGACCATTTAATTGATTAAATCTTCAAGTTAATCGATTAAAGAGGGGCAGATTGGTAGATAGTTTTGGATAATGGGCAAAATGATTATTAATTAATTAATGAAGGGCAAAAGGGTCAAAAATCCTATATATATATATATATATATATATATATATATATATATATATGGTAAAATGATTTGTAATGTGACTGTATATAAGCATTGGTGCAGTCACCTAAAAACTACGTCGTTTTGGGTGGGATAAAGGAAGTTCACGTTTAAAATTAATTGTAGAAAATAAAAATATTATATTTATTTCTAACTTTGTATGATTATGATTTTCCATATTTAATGTTTTATATTTATTTTCACCTTTGTATGGTTATTATTTTCCATATTTAATGCTTTTACATTATAAAACGACGTAGTTTTATATGACTGCACCAATCCTTAGGTGCAGTCACTTTACATCCGCTAAACCCTATATATATATATATATATATATATATATATATATATATATATATATATATATATATATATATATATATATATGGGACAAAATATACTTATCACCAAAAAAGTTTACCACATTTACAACCAATCTAATCACTGTTGATTTACGGAAATCAACGGTGATTAGATTGGTTGTAAAGGTGGTAAACTTTTTTGATGGTAAGTATATCCTTCCCCTATATATATACTTGAAAGCATTAAATGCGGGGAATCATAACCATACAAAGGATGAAAGCATTAAATGTGGAAAATCATATTCATACACCTTTCGTTGCTGTACGTATAGCGGCTGAGAAATGATTTAACGGCATGAGATAAAGTTATCTCAAGCAGCTTGAGAAATGAGAAGCCCATATATATATGAGTTTGTTTTTTCTAAAGTTACTTTAGATAACTTTATCTAATGTTCATCGAAATGACGTCGTTTTGAGGCAGAAATCATGGTATTTTTGTAATTTTAACTTATTTTAGGGTTATGATAGTCTTTATCATTCTAATTTTTAAATTTTTCAACCCAAAACGACGTCGTTTCGATGAACATTAGACAAAGTTGTCTAAAGTAACATTAGATATTTTTTCTCCTATATATATATATAGAGAGAGAGAGAAAAAAAAAAAGGTAGGATCCTTTGACACCAGTGTCAAATTTATAATTTGACACCTCATCTAAGAGCCGTTAGATAAAAAAAACCAACGACTCTGATTTATAAGCATGTGACACCATTTATCTTTTTTTGTCTAACGACTTTCACATGAGGTGTCAATTTCAAATTTGACACCGGTATCAAAGAATCCTACCTCATATATATATATATATATATATATATATATATATATATATATATATATGTATATGACTGATTATTGTTACTTCCCCATATATTCCTACTTCCTCATATATATATATATATATATATATATATATATATATATATATGTATGAGAAATATTTTGTTACACGCCCATCAAAATCCCAGCCAACATTCCTTTTTTTAGTTGTAGGACCCACCTAATTATGTCTCTGCATGATACAATGTTATCTTATGTAACATGAGAAAAACATAGCCATATATATATATATATTTATAAGGGCAGGATATTCTTACACTAAAGTAAGAGTTAGAAGTCTTACACTCAATCTTGACCATTGATCTACTTGTATCCAATGGCTCACATTACTAAAAAAATTAGAGCACTTTGATATAAATGGGATCAACGAACAAGATTAAGAGTGTAACTTACACTGGTGTAAA